AATTCGCTAATCTTTAGTGGATTTTACAACCACTTCGACTAAAAAAGTCTATCGAAGATGATATAAGTCAAGCAATTTGGTCACACCTAACTTGGAGCAAGTTCTATTTTTAATTTGTTCATCTGAGAAGTTTAATTTTGTTCATCTTCTCACTAAAAACTGACGAAACTTTTGCGCGTATTGAAGCGTGCGTAATGGTATTGCAAAAAGGGGAACACAATCAATTAATAATCCAAGAAGTGAAGTGGAGCGTTTTTTGCGGAAAAAGCCGCAATATTTATGAATATGAAGGACGAAATTGCTGGTGGAAAATCTGCTTATCAAGATGTTCCTCTTGAATGTTTATTCTTTCAAGCGAAGTTTGGCAAATAGGTGTTTTATGAATGCCAGAGCAGACTTATGAGACTCGCTACATTTGCTAATACTGTTTAAAAAAAACATTATTTTTCAATAGATAATAGGTAGTTTTGGATTGAATCAACTTGAATGAATTATAGTTTACGCTAAGATTGGACACCTAACCAACAGGTTTCGTCCTATCTCCATATCATTATAATCTTGAGCCTCAGGATTTTTTGTGAACTTTGTCTAGCAAAAGATATCGTCGTTTGCTCATAGAGTTGACTGCAAGATGTTGTCGAAATATGGGCAGCAAGATCTTAGTTTAAAGTAGCTGCATCATCGAAGAAAGGTGAATGCGTGGGCTGTTTAGAACCTGCTCAAACAGAACAGAAGGATCTTGATACATGAGCACCTTCTGGGTAACGTTGCTCATCTTAGTTGCATTGAGATGAAAACACACAGCTAGCGGTGTCCGAACAAAATTAAGAATTTTGAGTTTTTATCAGATAATGACGGTCAGCTCCGTGATTAAGCAGTTCCCCAAATTCAGGCAAATAATTCATCATGGTAAAGAAGATCGCTTCATACCTTTAGGTTGGCCCGTCCCTTTCATTTCAACATCGCCCATGTTTGTCCTCTCTTAAAAAACAGCGCTCTGCAAAAAAAAAGTCAAAGATCTGAAATTCCTTCTCTGTCACGCGTCTTTAATAGGAGAAAAATCTATGAAAT